GGAGGTGCCCGCTGTCCACAGCGTGTGGAAACCCCTCCCCCGCAGGCCGGTCCGAAGGGGAAAGTTTCTCCTTTTCCTTCCAGTGTGATAAACCCAAATAAGGAAGTGGGAGCAGGAGAGGGCCACGGGGGTGGGGTGGGGTAGGGTGGGGTGCTGACCAGGACTTGGGGCTGGCGAGTCAGGGACCTGGGCTGCTTTTGAAGGCCAGGGCCCTAGGGGAGGGGCAGGGGAAGGCAGGGGGGGTGGGGGGGCAGTATCCCCAGAGTGCACCACACACCCCTCCCTCCACCCACTCTTGGGGGATTCGCCCTGAGCGCCCATGGTGTGTGGTGTGGTCAGTGCGCTGAGGAGAGGAGGGCGGCTTGAGCCCTGGTTCAGGGGCTTCCCAGTCCCTCTGCCCCCAGATCACCCTCCTGTCTATTGTGTTCGCCCCACAATGGGCAGGGCTGGTGCAGCCCCCCTTCTCCAGAAGGAACAGCAAGGTCCACCCCAGACGCCATCGTGGGAGGGCTGGAGCAGGGAGCCTAACAGAGGTGCTGGGGCCAAACTGCGTGTGTGCTAGTGCTGGCATAGTCCTGGGCCTCAGTTTCCTCATGTGTCAAAGAACAACAACAGCACCCGCTTCCCGGCACCCCCGGGACCCGGGGACTCAGGGAGCTTGTCTATTAAGTGCTCTGGGTGGAGGAGTGAGCACCGTGTGGTTTGTGGGCGATCTAACTGCCCAACACACAGGGAGCACCCTGGGTGAGGCCCTGGGAGGGGCTCCAGGCAGGAGGGTTGACTTCAGACCACCTGGTCACTCCGGCCCAGGGTGAGTTTAAGCCTTTGGTGATAGCCCCTCGGGCTGCTGTCCCTCCATCGCTCTGGGTGGCCCTGGGAGTGAGCCAGGGACCGGGCCTTCTCAGAAAATGGGGACAGCGGACACTTCCCTGCCCCCTGCCAGCCGTAGTGCTGTTTGAGGGAGGAGAGGTCAGTCTGTTGGGTGGGCAGGGTCAGTTCTCCCTCTCGGACACTCAGTCTGCTCTTCTTTGGGGCTGGGAGGGTCCTGGGGAGACAGGATCGGGTAGGGAAGCTAAGAGGTGCAGGATGGTGTGGGGGTAAGGCGATGCTGTGAGGAGCTTGGGGGCGTAGGTTGGGGGAAACTGGACCTGGAAGGGGCAGAAGGATGGACTGGATGGCCCTGGGGGATGCGGAGAGCTGGGGAAGCCAGCTGTCCCTTGCTTTTGTCATGTAAACATCCACAGTAGGCTCAAGGGAGGGGCTGCGTGTGTGTGTGTGTGTGTGTGTGTGTGTGTGTGTGTGTGTGTGTGTGCGCCCATCCAGCCTGCATAGCATATTCTAGAGAAACCAAGAAGCCCCCGTGGAGGATCAGGGGAGGCCTTCCCCCAGGTGTGAGTCCAATTTCACGGAGACAGAAAGGCACCAGCACAGGGAACACGGAGCTGCGTGTGGGAGGGGGTGGGGGGCAGGAGAGCAGAGTCCACGTGACAGCTCCTTAAGGCTGGGGGTGAGGCTGGGAGGGGCTGGGGCAGGGCCCTCTGAGCAGGACCTGTGGACTGGGAGGTCTTAGATGACTGCTGCCTGGTAACAGTGACTGGGGAGCCCAGGGAGGGATCAGGGGTCAACCACGGCTAAAGCCTGTGGCAGGACTCGGCCCCCCATCGGTCACCCTCTCATCCCTGCCCTCCTGTTGTCCCTAGGAGGTCTCCAGTCGGAACCTGGTGACTCTACGAGTGGACCCCAATGGCTTCTTCCTGTACTGGACAGGCCCCAACATGGTAGGGTGGGTGTTGGCCTGGGTTACTCAGTGCCAGAGCCCGCGTGGAGCCCCCTGCCCCTGGGGCTGGGGCCCAGCTGTTGGTGACCTCTCTCACGGCTCCCTAGACAGGAAGTGCTAAGGGCGGGGGCAAAGCTGGGGCTCCAGCCAGGAGGTGGCCACTCCCTGGCTTGGGTGAGGAGCCTGGGGGGGGGTGGGGGTGCTCCTGGGGCCTTTCCCTGCAGCCGCTGCTCAGACCCACCCGGTCATCTGTTTGTCTGTTTTCGCAGGAGGTGGACACGCTGGACATCAGCTCCATCAGGGACACCCGGACGGGCCGCTATGCCCGCCTGCCCAAGGTGAATGCTGATGTCCGGGACTGATGGAGGATGGAGGTGAGGCCCTGGGGGGTGGGGGGTGGGTGGGTCAGGGCACCCCTCCTCAGCCTGCTGTTTCGCCTATCAGGACCCCAAGATGCGGGAAGTGCTGGGCTGGGGGGGTCCAGATGCCCGGCTGGAGGAGAAGTTGATCACGGTGGTGGCCGGGCCAGACCCGGTGAACACGACGTTCCTGAACTTCATGGCGGTGCAGGATGACACAGCTAAGGTGGGCTGGGGCCTCGGGCGGCCTGGGGACACCCCCGGCACAGGTGTTGAGTTAGCTGTCACGTAGTGAGTAGCCACTGCACCCTGGGCTGTGCTCTGAGCCGGAGCAGGGTGTGGTCTGTGGCCCGGTCAGCTCCTCTGCCCCCCAGCTCACCGCTCTCCATCTGCTGTCCTCTAGGTGTGGGCTGACGAGCTGTTTAAGCTGGCTGTGAACATATTGGCTCAGAATGCTTCTCGGAACACTTTCCTGCGCAAAGCGTGAGCCCTGGACTACCCTGGGAACACGTGTGTGTGCCTACACACGCGCGCGCATGCAGGACGGGCGGGTGGCCACCCTCAGGTGTGACCCCTCTCTCAACTTCCCAGGTACACCAAGCTGAAGCTGCAGGTGAACCAGGATGGGCGGATTCCAGTCAAGAAGTGAGCATCCCCTCCCCCCAGCACCCTCCCTCCTGTCCCCAGCCCTGGTGACCTCTGACCCCTGACCCTGCCCACTTCCGTCTGCTTCAGCATCTTGAAGATGTTCTCTGCCGACAAGAAGCGAGTGGAGACGGCTCTGGAGTCCTGTGGCCTCAATTTCAACCGGGTGGGTGGAGTGGGGTGAGGGTGGTGCTGGGGAGAGGGGTGGGGAGCGTCCCCGGGGGCACTGCCCCCCTCCTTGGAGCCAACTGCCCTGGATTCTCACCCTGGACTCCTGGCCCCAGAGTGAGTCCATCCGGCCCGACGAGTTCTCCTTGGACATCTTTGAGCGGTTCTTGAACAAACTATGTCTGCGGCCGGACATTGACAAGATCCTGCTGGAGATGTAAGTGAGCGTGCCCCTCCCCTGCCACTGACCCGCCCTTGTCCAGAGCCCCTGCCAGCCAGGGGAAGAAGGCAGGCTGTGGAGGGTGGAGGACAGATGGCAGGGGAGAAAGAGGCTTCGTGGGTTGTTTTTTTTTTGGGGGGGTGTTATTTATTTTAAATCATTTTATTGGGGGCTCATACAACTCTTATCCCAATCCATCCATCCATCGTGTCAAACACATTTGTACATTTGTTGCCATCATTTTCTTTTTTCTTTAAAAAATCATTTTATTGGGGGCTGGTACAACGCGTATCACAATCCACACATCCATCCATTGTGTCAAGCACCTTTGTACATGTGTTGCCATCATCATCCTCGGAACATGTGCCTTCTACTTGAGCCCTTGGCATCAGCTCATTGTTCCTCCTCCCTCCCTGCCCCTCACGAACCCTTGATAATTTATAAATTATCGTTTTGTCATGCCTTACGCTGTCCGACGTCTCCCTTCACCTACTTTCCTGTTGTCCATCCCCCAGGGAGGAGGTTATCCGTAGATCCTTGTAATCAGTTCGCGGCTCCATGTTAATCGTTGGCCCAAACCACTGCCATCGGAGCCATTCGGATTCCTAATGCCCTAGCGGGCAGAGCAGACGGACAACCTCACCTTCTTCCCTTCGGGTGGCTGGTGGATCTGAACTGCTGACCTTGCTGCTCTTAGCCTGATTTGTACCCAACTCCCCCATCAGTGCCCCTTCAGGGTGGTGCTTGCAGGGCTAGTTTAATCAACCCACCTTCTGGACGAGGACAGAGGGGCTCAGACGTGCCTGCGCTGATAGACCCGGGCACCGGGCCAAGCACTGGGTGGCCAGCGAGCGGATGGGGAGATGGAGCCCCGGTCCCTGGTGCTGGATCTGGGTGGGTGTAGAGCTGTGCTGGGGACCCAAGTCCTCCGGGGTGAGAGCCAGAGTGGCAGGCTGTGGGGAGCTAGCAGGGCTCAGCCCACTCCCCGCCCCGTGTAGAGGCGCCAAGGGGAAGCCGTACCTGACGCTGGAACAGCTCATGGACTTCATCAACCAGAAGCAGCGTGACCCCAGGCTCAATGAGGTGCTGTATCCGCCGCTGCGGCCCTCGCAGGCCCGGCTGCTCGTGGAGAAGTACGAGCCCAACCAGCAGTTCCTGGAACGAGGTGCGCTGCCGGCCCAGGAGGGAAGGATGGACAAAGGGTGGGGGCAGGGGCTGGCTGACCCCCGCCCCTGCCCCCAGACCAGATGTCCATGGAGGGCTTCAGCCGCTACCTGGGTGGCGAGGAGAACGGCATCCTGCCCCTGGAGGCCCTGGACCTGAGTGCAGACATGACCCAGCCACTGAGCTCCTACTTCATCAATTCCTCACACAACACCTATCTCACAGGTGAGCCAGCAGTGGACAGCTGCTCTCGGCCACCCTGGCCGCCCTCCTGGGCCTGGGCCTGGTGCTGGGCACCGAGGTTCAGGCAGAGCCAGAGTCAGGCCTGGGGGACAGCCTCTCTGTGGGAGTGTCCGTCTGGCCTTGTGGGTGGTCAGGCAGGGCTTTCTTAGGGAAGGACTGGAGTCGTGGTCAGCTCTGCCCAGGTACAAGCCTGTGGGAGGCCCAGAGCCAACAGCTGCCTGGCTGGGGTGCAGGGGGGAGGCCCCAGCCGGGGGGCATATGGGAAGGTGGCTGCATCCTGAGGGGAGGGAGAGAGGTACCGGGTGGTGGTGAACAGGCTTGGAAGAGGTGGGATGGTTTCAGAAGGGGGACACCAGGTGCTAGTAGGCTTGGAGGAGGTGGGATGGTTTCAGAAGGGGACACCAGATGCTGGTAAGATTGGATTGGAGGCAGGGCAGGGCCTGTGGGACCTCAAGACGGGAGGGGCTGGAGGCTGCTCTGGGCCAAGGTGGGAGGAGGGAGTGGGGCACGCTGGGGCTGTGGGATGAGTCCCAGGGCCGGGTGGGTGTGATGGGAGGGTGAGCCTGGGAAGCACCCCACCCATAGGCAAGCTCTGGTAGACAGCTGCCTGGTGCCCATCCGGGCAGGCACAGGGGCAGGGTGAGAGGGCACGGGCGCTGCCCTGCGTGTTCTAGGGGAGACAGTGCTGGTTCCACAGATAACCGAGATGCAGGCGGTCAGGGCCCTTCCTGGTGGGAGCCCCAGACGGTACAAACAGTGACGTGCTCGGCCGCTCACCGAGAGGTTGGCAGTTCGAACCTACCCTGGGGTGCCGAGGAGGCAAGTCCTGGCCATCTCAAAGGTCCTGGCCTTTGCAACCACGGAGCAGCTCCGTTCGGCACCGTCTGGGGCCAGAGTGGACCTGACGGGGGACCGGTGGTCTGTGTTGGTTCGGGGCTTGGCTGCTGCAAGGGGCCTCTGTGTCCCTAGCGTGGCCCGGTTCAGGGCCGGCCTCCGGGAGGGCCACCGCTGGCCCGGTGACGGAGGCCTGTCCACAGCGGGGCAGCTGGCGGGGACCTCGTCGGTGGAGATGTACCGCCAGGCCCTGCTGTGGGGCTGCCGCTGCGTGGAGCTGGACGTGTGGAAGGGGCGGCCCCCCGAGGAGGAGCCCTTCATCACGCACGGCTTCACCATGACCACGGAGGTGCCCCTGCGCGACGTGCTCGAGGCCATCGCCGAGACCGCCTTTAAGACCTCGCCCTACCCCGTCATCCTCTCCTTCGAGAACCACGTGGACTCGTGAGTGGCCCTCCAACCCGGCCGGCCCGGCGCCACCTTCCCGTGGCGACCTGTGACCTCGGGGCAGGTCCTGCCCTGATCTTGGACCCACCTTGCTCCCGCAGGGCCAAGCAGCAGGCCAAGATGGCCGAGTACTGCCGCGCCATCTTTGGGGATGCGCTGCTCATCGACCCGCTGGACAAGTACCCGGTACGGGGCTCCGCTGTGCGGCAGGGCGGGCGGGCAGCGGGGCCGGGGCGCCTCCAGGGCCCTGACCTGGCCCTGTCCCCTAGCTGGCCCCAGGCGTCCCCCTGCCCAGCCCCCAGGACCTGATGGGCCGCATCCTGGTGAAGAACAAGAAGCGGCACCAACCCAGCGGCGGCGTCCCCGGCAGCTCTGTGCGCAAACGGCCGCTGGAGCAGAGCAGCTCGGTGCTGAGCGAGGGCTCTCTCCCCCGTGAGCCCTCCTCACCCCCGCTCGGTATGGCCGGCCCTGCCCAGCGGCTCACCTGGGAACCCCGACCCTAACGTCCCTGGGACCCTCTGCTCCTCCCTGGACCCTTCTCCTCATCGAGGATTCCCCCCCCCCTGCTCCCATTCCCCCACCCGCTGGCCACAGGGCCCATTCAGCTCCCAACTCCTCAGCCTCCACAGCTCACCTCCCAGAGCCCACCCTCCCCGAGGTCAGGGCTGAGTTCTCACCTCTGACCTCAGTGGACCGTATTCTCCTGCTTTGGATACAACCCTTAATCCCTGGCCTCTATTGTGTGGTGCCCGCCTCTCCAAATCCGCCCACTTCTCCTGCTGTTATAGCTGCCGGTGCTGACCTCTCACCTCCTAGAGGCCCCTCCTAGAGGCCTCTCCTCTACCTACCTGGGTTTGGGGGCTGACCCTGCACTGTCTCCTCAGCTAGCCGCCTCCTTGGCTGCAGGTCTGACCAACCCCCTGACCTGTAACCCCCCCATGTCCTTTACCCCCATGGAGTCTGGCTGGTGTACCCCAGTTCCCTGGGTCGCCCTGCCTACCTCCATGTTGGATATAAGTCCAGATCCTAACCTGTGACCCGCCCCCGCTCCGAACTACTCCAGGTTTGAGACTTGGAGCTCTGCCCTCTCTCGGACGACACCCTTTGGGTTCCCACCGTCCCCTCCACACAACACACATACGTGTGCACACTCACACGCCACGCCACATCACGCCACCCCACCGGGCTTCCTGAACATGACTCCCTGTGCCGCCCCCTCCAGGGTCCCCCAGCTCCGACAGCACTCCAGGCCTGAGCAATGGGGAGGAGGCGGGGCCCGAGAGGCTCTGCCTGGAGCCTCGGAAGTCTCTGGGGGAGGAGGGGCCACGCCGGACCGCAGATGCCCTTGGGCCTACTGACCGGGAGGACGAGGAGGAAGATGAAGAAGAGGAGGAGCAGGCGGACCCCAAAAAGCCAACCACAGATGAGGTGGGGCCCGTGGGCAGGAAGTGAGGGCCCGTGGCAGGTGGTTCATTTCCTGAGCGTTTACTGAGCACGTACTGCATGCCAGGCAGGGGGCGGGTGCAGCGTGTGAGCAGGGGCCTGGCCCATGCCACCCACCCCGAAATTCAGCCCAGATGGGTGTCAGCGGCAGGTCTGAGGCACAGACCTGAGAAGGTGCCCATGACTTGGGCCTGGGAGGCGGGAGGCTGAGCCGGGGGGTGGGGGGTGGAACAGGGATAGCATGTGCACAGGCCCTGGGGGCAGGCAGGCAGGAGGAGGGCACAGAGGCCTGGACAGTGCCAATGGCAGAGTGGACAGGACCCAGCTCAAGGGGAGAGGAGGTGGCCGTGGCCAAGCCTCTGGCTGTCAGGTGGAATTGGGTTTGAAAAGGGACTGAGTGGGCAGGGGGCAGCGGGAGGTCAGTGTTGGGCATGTTGAGGTCCAGGATCTTGTTCAGGGCCTGAAGGGAGAGAGGCAAGAGGGCGCCTGGGGTGCTGGCTGGGGCGGACTGAGAGGAGAGAGGCAAGAGGCCGCCTGGGCTGCTGGCTGGGGCGGACACTGAGGCATTGAACCCTGAGCTCCAGGGAGGGGCTGCAGCTTCCATCAGCGAAAGGGAGCCAGCTGGGAGGGTGTGGTCCATCCTGGGCACGTTGGCAAGGCCCTCTGGGAGAGGAAGTCCAGGCTGGTTGGGGGCTGGGGTCCTCCGTGGGGGGGGTGTGTGTCATGAGGACGGCTTCACTGGAGGCCGAAGAGGCACGTCAGGCCAAGTGAGGGGAGCCAGGAGGGGAGGTGGCGTGGGCCTAGGTTCCCAGGACGTGGCCTTGGGGGGGGGGGGTGTCAGCGCCTCCTTTGCGTCAGGTGCGGGGTGATGGGGGGACTTGCTCCTGGGAGTGCTGACCCAGGCTTGGGGCCACAGGGCACAGCCAGCAGTGAGGTCAACGCCACGGAGGAAATGTCCACCCTTGTCAACTACATCGAGCCTGTCAAGTTCAAGTCCTTTGAGGCTGCCCGAAGTGAGTGGGGGCAGGGGAGGGCACGGTGGGTGGGGAGGGAAGCCGGCCGACCCTGCTGCACCTGACAACCGCCCGCCCGCCCGCCCGCCCCAGAGAGGAACAAGTGCTTCGAGATGTCCTCCTTCGTGGAGACCAAGGCGCTGGAGCAGCTCACGAAGAGCCCCATGGAGTTTGTGGAGTATCCTCCGAGGGCTGGCGAGGGGTCGGGGTGGGAGGCCCGGGTCTCCAGTCCCACGGCCTGGGGTGGGACCGTCCGTGAGTGGGCGCTCAGGAGCCCTGGTGGCCTCGTGCTGCGATCTGCAAGGTCGGTAGTTTGAAACCATCAGCGGGAGAAAGATGGGGCTTCCTGCTCCCGCACACACATGGTTACGGTCTCAGAGACCCACAGGGCCGCTGTGAGCTGGCCTCGTAGACTCAAAGGCAGTGAGTTTAGGTGGGGCCCTGGGGGCCTGCCCAGAGGGTAGGCCCAGAAGAGGAGGGGCCTGGGACACTGGGCTTGGCGGGAGAAGACAGAGGGACGGGGCCGGCCCTGGACACTATGGCCCTGACCGCTGACCTCAGATACAACAAGCAGCAGCTCAGCCGCATCTACCCCAAGGGCACCCGAGTGGACTCTTCCAACTACATGCCTCAGCTCTTCTGGAACGTGGGCTGCCAGCTCGTTGCCCTCAACTTCCAGACCCTGGGTGGGTGCTGACCTCTGACCCCCTAGTGCCGCCTACCAACTTGGGAGCCCTGGCCCTGCCCCAC